TATGAAAAATACTGTGTATCCTCTGTGAGAGTTTGCCATACTTCTCTGCTTGCAGTTAATGAAAATGAGCAAAAACTCATTGATGGCACCCCGCAGACAAGCTGTCCATTGGCTGGAGCTGTTAAATCTGGAGTTCAGCAGCCTGTCTGTCCCTCAAACCTTGTTTTATGGCCATTGCCCCCAGTCCAATCTCTATTATGGCACAGTGGGGGCACCATAAACCCCCACCGGTGCTGTTATGTGGGGCTGAGTCGGGGGAGACTGACATCTCTGAGAAGCCCCGCTTGGGGGGTCCTGCCTGTGTCAGGTTTAAGGGAACAGCATTGGTGAAATGTAAATGCGAGCTGTCTTTCTAAAATGGGGCAAGTCTGCCATGTATCTGATTCCAAGCTATATTTTGAAATTGCAGATAGAATATTTATTTGTAACCACAACCAGTCCCCTGTTTTCATTCAAAATGCAAACTCATGGAATTAAATTATTTCACTGATTTTTACCGCCCAAACTGAGACACAGAAGTGAGGTATTGATATGCTAAAAAATCCTTGCTAATGTAGGTCAGTGCATCTGTTGATATGCTGTAACATGTTTGATTGCCATTATATGCTGCAAAAAATAGGAGCTGTGATTGTCCTGTCTTTAAAGTGACAGATGATGATCTGTCAGACATGTGGAGGTTGTGGGTGTGCACACAGATATGGATGCATGTATATGCTTATGAATATAAAATATATAAAATGATGTGGAATAAAATATGAAGCAGGTTAAGCTTGGAATGACCACAAGCACAATGAAATCACAAGTGAGTTACGAGTACCAATAAAACTTTTATGCAACACCATATTATCATGTCTTCTGCATCTGCTGTGTCTTCAGTAGAAAATTTACTTTAGAAATGTTGTGCACACCATTTTAAAATTATATGGTAGTATTTATTGTACCCTTTCATCTGTAAAAGCCAGACCCCCTTTATATCAGTCCATCTGGAAAGGCCCTAAAAGGAAAAATAATACATATTTTAGAAACCTGCTATCTAAAATAGCATTAGTTTTCTAGCCATTAAATATCCTGTTTTTATGGTACTGCTTCTCAGAATTATCAGGAGCTAGCAGCTGGAAACCTCTTCATCTTTAGTGGACTCTGTATACGGAAATTCTTTGAGAAGTATGTTCTTAAGGGAACAGATGAAGTTTCGCCATTGTATGATGACATCATCCTTTGATATCATACAGTGATGCACTCTGATCAAATTATCTGAGCTCCTTCCCGTTCTCCACAGAAGGCAGAGAGGGAGCAATATTTATGTCTCTTGGGTATATTTCCCACTGTTATTTTCTTGTCAGTACTGCAGACAGCATACGTAGATTTGCTTGTCTGTTGGGAGACCTTCTCTTATCATGCAAGAGCTCTTACATGTGCGATGCTTGCTTTCTTGGTGCTTTCTGAAGGTTTTGGAGAGCCACTTAGTAAACATGGGTATAGTTTCCCACACTTTTATTCTTCTCATTAGCAGGAGAGCCTGCGCGTATTTCTATGTTTTTGCAGCCTGATACTCTAGCAAGTTCATTTATGTTATCAAGAACCACCTCTAATCCCGATGTCATATGACGGGACCCAAGATAGTTTTGCTCTTGTGTCAGCACCACTGCTTTCTGTTGTGAGCTTCACACCCCTCTTTTCTAGCATCCTCTCAGGATTATCAGTGCCAGCACTTTGCTCTCTTAAGAGCATCTGATGATGAAGCTGATGTTACCTATCAGAATCACAGGTGCCAGAGAGGATTAACAGTGATGTTTAGGTCATACCTAATGAATTCCTGCATCCTGCTGAGGAAATCGCTGCTCCCAAATTAAGGACCCATTGTATCAGCATAACCGCAGTGTCCGACGCTACAAGTGTATTTCCCTAGTGGAATCATGTAGAGTAGAAATTAGGACTTGTGTGCACGTTTCAACAGACACTGTTTCTAAATTTAGCTTAATGCACTGATGTCAAGATGAGAGTGCTACAAGTTACAAACTCCTTGACTTGAGTCGCTTGGTGAAGCTTCCACAAATGACAATACACCAAATGGCTGGGAGGAAAAACGTGTTATTGATAATACTGTTTCTCAGGAGTTTCTTTTGTACATCTATTATATCAGCTCCACATCCCTTGTACTTTGGGGTTTTTTTATTGTAAAAGTTTGAACACACATAGGTGGCTCCCAAAGGATGCTGTTTACTTACACAGGTAGCCTCCCTTTTCAGCTTAACTGGCTTCCATTGCAAACTGTTAGTGATCCAGTAATGCATTATATAAGTTTACATTGCAATATATGATTCAGTTTCAGCAATCTCCTGAACTATATACAGGACTTGTAAACAGTGGATTCAGTCTTTGGTGTTGCTAAGGACTGTTCTATCACCATTCAGAAGTTGCTGGGATCTGTAATGTTTCTGATTTTTTTTACTAGGGATCTCCAAAAAGCCCCCTTCTTACATAGGAGAATAATTAAGTGCTTTGGAAAGACAGTGTGAACCTCTTGGTGCAGACTTTCAGAATAGATCTAGAATCTCAGCTCTTCTGGATCCCTCAAACTTGATTTGGGACTTGAGGTCCTTAGGCTTGGCTTCGGGAGAAAACAAGTGTGATGACAAATAGTAAAGGCCATCCCTTGTGCCCTGAAAGCAAGCTTTCACTTACAAGCAATTGGGCAGAGACACTTGCCTGCCTCTCTCTTATGTTACTGTTGCAGGTATTTAACTTGTATAGGGTATATTACTTCACTGAAATTAATTGGACAGTTCACACCTCACAGGGCTGTAGCTTCCAGGTTTTTGTATATACATAAAATAATTCTATCATCAGCTATATTTAATGCCCCTTTTGAGGGATTTTACACATCTGTGATTTTTAAATATTAAAATTTGAAATTGATATTTAAAATTTGAAATTGGACAGAGATGCATCCACAACAAGCATTGTGAAATCTTATTTTTCAGGTACTTTTCTCCTAGAATATAACTTACAAATCTAACTGCTAGCAATCTGTATGGAGTTCATAAAGACAAGTATGTACTTTAGTGTGGGATTCAGTAGGATGGTATATATCCTTAGCTGTGGGTAAGGACATGCCGTTTCCTCCTGTATCTTTATTTCACCGTCCCTATTTCTTAGCCAGGCTGTCTTTTTAAATATAATTGCTTTTAGTATAGAATTGTGTAGGGA